GGCTTAATAGCATCAAAGACATAGAAGCTGTTATTTCCATCAGAAAAATTCTAGAATTCAAAGAATCAGTGCCCACGTCATATTTCACTCAACATGCCTTTTCAATCTACACTCTCAGGGTCTAGAACCATACCATTGCATTATCAAATAGTTCGCTTTTTTCGAATTCGGCATCTATGGATCATGAGTCATAATTCAACTGTAAAAGATCTAATATTTATCTATTAATCAATGAGATGTTTTTTCTCAGGCTAAACGTTCTATTAGCACGTGTTTATCACAAACAATATTCTGTCTACACTGCTCTTTGTACTTTTCTCTGAAGTAAGCATTGTTCGAATGATGATGGTGTCTAAGGGAAAAAGCAATAACAATATAGCTATGTATATGGCTTTTGTTGTTGTGTATTTTGTATTAAAATATTGTGGATCTTTTCATAGGCTCCCGATATTATACAGATACCAAAGACGTGCACAGGACAGGGTGGTCCTGTTGTCTTGGTGTCCTGTCCTGTCTTGTCCTGCCGTCCGCCAGGACCAAGGTAGTCAACAGGACAGAAAAGGACAGGAGAAAAAATTAAGTTCTGTGCACGTCTCTGATAGACACAGACGCCATACGCCAGTAGTGTATTTGCTGGTAAAATGACAAAGAATACTACTATGAATCACATATACAATAGATGATGAGCTTTCTCTCTTCTGTTTACTAGACGATATTATGGTGTTGGTGAGCGTTCAACGAAGGCTTGTTGAACAATGTGCTCACATAAACTATCAAGACGTATTGGAATTTAGCAGTAAAGAATCTGGTTTCCTTAGATATATAACTTCGAATTTTGTAGTGCGATGTTGCACTAACACAAGATTATATGAAAGATTCTGTAGACTTGAGGCTTAAAATAGAAAAGTTTGCTGGATCCGTAGTTGTTCTCTATTTGCTTAAGAGTCATTAAATGATCTAACACGTGCAAGCTTAATCTACTCCACCAAATTATCGCAAACTTTCGAGAGTTATATTAATCAGTAATGAATGTCTTTATACATAAATATTATACAAAAATTCTGAAAACATTCTATGCACGAAGAGTGCAGAATATTTTACAGCACTAGTGATTCGATATACCAAATATTTGGCACACGAAGCGGCTGAGTACAATGGTTACTACTATTGATCCCTAGCTCAAAAAGTTAGATATATAACATATAGTTGATGCTTTTATAACTATACATAGCCACGTATCAGTGCTGGTTTGACTAATTAAGAGAAAGCTATTCTCTGAACTTTTATCGTAATAAATCTTTTGACATATAAAAATAAGAAGGGATCAGCGGTATCGAAAAGTTCACTATCCAAAGCGCTAAAATAGTAACCTAGACTTTTAGATATGTTCATTCAAAATGTGATTTATCCAGATAACACTAGATAACAATAAAGATGAATTTCGATCGTACCAACTTGGAATATGAATTAGAAAAGTATGTATTTATGTCCGATCTGTACTGATCGTCGTACCAGATCCCTAACGTTTAATCCCGGACGCACACTCGTAAGGACGCTGACACCAATACTCATCCTGATTCCCATTTCGAACGTCTGTAAAACATCCCCTAGTGAATCTATATGATTTCTTTTTTAACATTGTACTGTTAATCAACGTTTGAAGATTGACTACAAGAAGTTCCTAAAGGCATCAACATAAACATCCATACGTCTATTTTTAAATATTTCCTTTCATCTTCGGATGTATCCAAAGATAATTCAACCAAGAACTATTCTGGTGATATATATTTTGCAATGGTGTTTATATAAAGCATCAAAAATCTTATTTTTATTGATACAAAAACGTTTAATGAATTCACATATGCGCAAATTATATACGTCAAATGTTCATACTGTATAACTTAGTATCCATTCAAGGATTCGCTAATGCATAAATTTGAGCTGCTGTTAATTCACGATTATAAAGATAGAATTCATCCAAAGCACCCGTGAATGCACCTCCATAGCCAGGCGAGCAACTCGTTCCACCACTATCTCCTCCTAATCTGATGAGCATCGGGGCACCGGAAGCCGAAAATGTAAAAGACCCACTCGACGAGTATAAGTTACCATTGATATACAATAGAACACCATTCGATGTGCTATAAGTATAGCCAATATGTGTCCAAGTGTTTAACGTGAGCGTAGGACCGACTGCGCCTACACCACTACCCATCCAACTGTTAACTGTTAAAACTCCAGTTGATGTTGTTACTACAAAGTGAACACACCAACCACTTGATGCTGTTACGAAAACAAGTGTTTGTGCCGAGTAACTTCCTGTCGGTTTTGCCCACAAGGCCATCGTATATGAATAGCCACTAACGCCTAAAAAGTAAAATGGATAATACGCATACGAAATGTAGGGTCCCGAGTTAAACTGTATTGCTTGATCAACACGACCAGTAGTACTGACGAGAACTCCAAAGGCAGTTGCATTAATGCCATTTGGACCATAATCAGTAAGCGAACCACCATTGAATGAATAATAAACTTGGAGATTGGCATCCCTTAAAATTTCAGTCGAATTTTTAGCTATAGAAGTATATCTTACATTGTCAATGTAACCATTAAAAGAAGTAATACTGCCTGATTGAAAAGTAGCTCCAATCGTTGTTATACCCCACAGACCAGAGTAGGCACTCGCTGAACGTGAACCATCAAGATTACCATTGAGCCACACTTGTTGTGTCCCCGTCGTCAAATCATAGACACAAGCTATATGTTGCCAAATGTTCATTGTGAGAGTAGTTCCACCCTGTAAGTCANGCTTCTACTGTGAAACTACGAGAATTGAATGGAATTATTGTTGGTGTAATGTAAACGTATTGACTGGAAGATCGAGTAAGACTGATAGCAGCGCCATATCCAAGGACACTGGTTGTATACGTTGGACCACCAGAGACAGTTCCGTCGATACCAGTGTTGTACAACTCCAATGCATTGTTATCAAATGGCCAGAAGGCACTCGGTATGTTTTGGGCAGTTGTAGTCGTAGTAGCTAAAATGATGGATGATGAATAAATGAAACTAGAACGAAGAACAAAGGATAAAGTTGTGAGTAGGGAGTGCAAACTCAGGAAACTATTTGTAGTTTCGATTATGATTTTTGAGTACTGTCTCAATAATAGGAATCAACTTCTCAGGAGTTTTTGTGAAAGAGAACAAATAAGTATTCATTGAACGCTAGGCAATTTCAGGTAGCCTGTGCAACCGTATCTTCTGAATGAATGCTGAACTAGAGTGAAAAATCGATATGGTACCGACTTGTTGTGGTGGTTGTCGTTGTTGTTGTTGTTGAAGTAGTTGTGGTGCTCGTGGTGCTTGTTGTAGTTGTTGTTGTAGTCGATGTGGTGGATGTCGATGTTGTTGATGTGGTTGTTGCTAGTGGTGAAATGGAAATCAGATGTTATATCAGTATTGTTCGAGACAAATTCAAATGACGTGTAGCGTATCAGACAAGACAACTTTATTTTTCAACTTTTAGCAAACCATAGTTTAGTTGTACTCTGTGTGTTAGATAATAGTTTAGTATTTTATAGGGACTTCAATGGACTATATCAGAGAGATCCACAGTGGATTTCACTTATAGCATTGTTTAACAACAGTCATATCTCATTTATAAATCTGCCAAATAATTTCTTTCTCAATACATAAACCGTATTGTTCTGCAAAACTATTATGGAAAGGTTTAATACTGTCAGTGCTCATATGGTTCAGGATATATCCGTTGAAGGATTATTAGTCATCTGTATTTAATTAAATGTAACTTTCTATATCGTGAAATTATTCTGTATGAAAAAATAGTATCTACGCTTTGTCGAATTGAGTTGCGAACCTTTTGAACAACTAGATTCGAAAATGTTTTATAAAATATGCCACCCGTATAGGGAATTACCAATAATATTCTATCTTCACCTTTCAGAATCTGAACTCGTTAAAAAATATTTTTGCGCGATGTTAATGAAAGTGATGAATATTATATTATTGGTTATTGTTAATTATTCTGTCGATTGGTATCACTATTCTTTTTTTTTATTTGAGTTAATTGTAAAACATAGGAATATAAGTAATACAATATACTCTAATAATACTAGGAAAATATTTACACGTTATAAACATAATTAGTTGAAGAGTTCACATAGAAATATTTTAGAAATAACTGTACTAATGAAAAATAATATCATTTTCATCAATTTTCAGGCTTTTATACTTACCAAGTGATTCACTTGATTTCACTCAGATTTCGGTCAACGAAATTGTTAAGAATATTAAGATTTTTTCTCAACAACATAAATCTATCTATCTTTTACATATATAATATTGTTCGTTTATTAGTTACAGGAATGTTAGAAAGACTAAGAAAACATTTGCCACAATTCAACATCGACTTGACCATCGTGACTCACAGTCATGATTACGGAGGGAACGCTAGTAACCGTGACTAGCACCAAAATCAGTGGTCACGCCTATGTCTATCGGTATTCTATACACGAAGAAAATCACACAGAATAATTAAGAATTTTAACACGTATCGGCAAAATAATATCTGTGAACCTTGGCTCTCGTCGCCATACAATGAGTTTTGATGGGTGGCTGACTATTGCATTTTCTAGAATCGCGCATCCGATAACAAAATGACTCCGTGCTTGATGTGAAATGTAAAACTCTTGCGGTCAAAACACGGCTGATTACTATACACGGGCAGCTTACTCGATTAAACGAGACAAACTCTATGTAAACTGGGTTTCTGTCTGTAGCTAGGCGTAGCACTACACCAAGAAATACTAGAGACTCCTGGAAAGCATCCTCGAACAACGTTTTACACCACAATCAGCTGAAGAGGCGGCGTGCTACACTGTATCCTTATAATGATTATTGTAATTGTTTTTACAGCCAAATATGAATTACATGTGGTTTTGAACATTCTAATACCTATATGCTTCTATGTTTATTAAATCTCGAAAGTGTTTTTTAATAATGTTCTAGTTATTTTCAGTTTTCAAATGAAATTTCAGCCACGAGCACGTATATTATTTTTACCAGAATGCATTCAGACTTCACAATAAACACTCTTGCAACGAAATCAATAGGCAGAAGTTTGCAAGTTTAGTCAAGTAACTACCCCATCATTATTTTTGTTCATGAAATATGTTACACTTACTTGTAGTTGTCTTAGATAAGCTTAGATAAACTGGCACAACAACCGCAATCACTGCAGTAGCAACTATACACATCGCAAGAACCGCCATCAATACTCGCCTCGATGTCGTGTTTTTGTATGTGTCGGAGCTGGGAGAGACTTCGTTAACTTCGTTTACACCATGAATCTCATCGACGTCAGTGACTTGATTAAAATCAGCTGTTATATTTCTCACTGATGAAGCAGGCGGTCTGTAGTTCTAAATGAATTCAAATGAAAAAATTCATTGACAGATAAGAGATGTGTCTAAATAGAATTGTGGATAAAGTTCTAGAGGTCGCTGAAACCGATTTATGTGCAAGTTATACTGTTGAAACTTTTATCGTAAATAGAACTGATTTTCTCGCCCTTGTATCAAACAAACTCTAGAACATCGAAATGAAGAGTTTTTCATGTCACCGTAGTAATTCGACATCGTTATGCCGTACGAATTGATCCATAACCGTCGATATATTTGCCTATTAGTCGCCGTTGACTATAAATACTATCTCTAGAAACCAATTTCTTTGTGAATCACATTTATTCTTTCGAGCATTCTCGTAAGGATTTTTTGACAATATAAATCTATTCCAACTGTAGCCAAAAATAACTCAAGTTTCATTGACGCTGATAACCCTAGAAAACTTCATATATTTATTTATACGAATTGATGAATTCATTAAATAAGTCTCTTTGATATAAAAAGTGAATAGCAATATTACATTTCTTCGACGGATTAGATCTGATATGGTCTGTAATAAAAATATGAATAATGTGATTCGAGAAGGGTAAAGTTACAATATTTGGATAGTAGGAATAACTGCTTTAGCAATCCGATAAAATCAAGATTTTCATTCTTGATTAGCAAAGATCAAAGACTGTTTCTTTTTCAAAATATCACTGATGAGAATTGGAAACCTTCTGCTCCATTTTTTTCTTTTCATCAATTTCAGTTATCTTACCGCATAGTTTTGCACAGGTACATAAAATTGAGGTACAAATGTTGTACAGGCTTGCGTACTGGTAGGCATTATTAAATAATATCTCTACCCAGTCTTAGAACACAATGAAATGAATTCTATGTTGCTTGAAAATAAAAACTTTGTTTTCAATTTCGAAAACAACGACAGGATTTTTAAGTAGGTGCGTGAATAAATGATGATAGCTCGCTCTTTTTTAATGGAAAAACACTGTACTTACTCATGTTTTTTATTTGCACATTATACTTGCGTTGAAAAAAATACCGCTACACCAACTGTATGTAAGTATAAGAATGTATGGATTACTTTTTGCTTTCAGTAGCTATTACGACGCACAAACACTCCAAATCGTATTAATTTTTAAAATTGTTGGATGATGCCGGCTAAGGTTGCATCGCTGTCGAGTTTTCGTATCTGAGTGTGAGTGGGTAATGTGTGTTTGTGTTCACATGTATGTTTTTACAAGAGCAAATGCATGCAAATTTTATCGGGAAAATGTTGAAATATTCTTTTCAGGACTGTTGCAGCTAATTGCTGCTCTTGCATTTTAATACACTCACACACGACCACTTCGCATTTGACGTTAAAACTAAAATGTATTTCATAAGTGTCGCTGTTTCTTCATTCTTCTATATCAACACTGCTAGTTTTCCCTTAAAAACGTCTACTCATAGGTTGTCGACAACGGACACATTCACTAACTAACAATTTTTTATGCACATTTTTTTACAACAGTAAAGCGTAGATCTTTGGAATCTACAGTATGTATGCATATATAAATAAATACTTTAATCTATGTCACACTGATGCCAAATGATTTTCCCGCTCATACCTTTAGTGAAAAAAGCCTGATAACAACACATTTATACCTTAATTTCCGTGAGGCACAGTTATTATAGTCACAATCACGAGTCATGACTACAGCCGTGACCAGGGTCTGGTCACGGATAACCATTATCATTCATAAAAACGTTTGAAATTCGTTATTGTAACTTACCTACTTGTGAAGAGATCTAGCCCGAATGCGCAGTCTATTTAAGGCGGCCCCCCTCAGAAAAACCGATTTTTCGAAAAAAATCCGAAATTGAGTTTTTATCATAGGAAGATGCCCCGTGATCTCCTCTTTCAGAATATATATAGGTTTTTGAAAAACGGTTAAGTTTTGACAGAGTTATGCAAGAAATACTATCATTTTACTGTCAAAATTTTCGATATTTTCGCATTTTTGACGACATTTTTCGTTTTTTTCCGTTTTCATCGATTCATAGGCTGCTAGTTTGAACAAAATACCCCTACATCAACCAAGACACGCCTA